CCATATTGTAGAATGCATAACATGCACATTCTATTACTGTTTATCTAATGTTTTGATCCAAAGCAGTTTATAATCTATTAAAAGTAGAGATTAACTTTTTAGGAAAAACTGCCATTCATGGTATTTACTGAGCTATAATTACCTGGAACCCATGAATTGTGTACTACCAGCCTAAAACTACGTAATTTAAAAATTATTTTTTTAATTTGGACATCTGGTACAAATAACATAAATATAGGCTTTTTATCATTAGGCAACAAAATAATACATGTGCTTTGCAGCTTGTCGGTGCTGATTAGTTAATAAAGTCTGTACATTGCACGGTAAGTTCATTAGGATTCTTAACTGGGATTTTCTTGATAAAATTCCTACAACATATGAACAGGAAGTTCTCTGTCAGGCTTAACAATGGGTGGCCACACCACACTGCCGATATGAAAATCAATTTGATGAGCTACTGTACGTCATTGGGTGCGCAGTTAGATCCAAAATACACACATTATAGCAGCCACATATCCGCTGATGAGACGCTTCTCAGGGCCAAAGCACATTTGATATAAGTTAAGACAATATCTTGAATGTCTTGGATGATGATACTTGATCTCTTATAAGTTAACCTATTATAATATTATTGTAAATAAATTTTTTAATTCAAAAACTTTATCAATGTGACAAAATAGTTCAGTGGGATTATTTATTTATTTTTGCTCAATTTTTTTTTTTTTAAATAGAGTAAAAAATACAGTATGTGGTACTGTTTTTTTTTTTTTTTAGATTATTAGGTCATATAATCTTAAAGTGCAGTCACAAATTAGGACCATTTTCAATAGTGTAGTGATGCATGATGCACAGAAATACAGAAGTCACTTTAAAATCAAGCCACTTTCTGTTGGTACACTGGTAAACCAAGTAAGCAGCTTGAAGCCATTGCAAAAATGTAATTTTTCTCCATTATGCAAAATTCCTTTTAAATGAAAATCTGATGAACAATATTAAATATGACGACATCTTTAGCAGTGTTCTGCAAAAGAAACTTTATTTTTTAAGGTATCCTTGTTTCAGTGTATACATTTAAAGAGATTGTTCACCAAAAATGAACGTTCTTTCACATATAAACATTGATCATGCTTGAGCTTCAGTGTACACAACTGATGTGTGAGTTGATTTATGTTTATGTGAATAAAAGCCTAAATTCAATCAGTTAATTAAATAAAGAGATCTTGTCTCTTCAGAAAATTTTGATTAAACCACTTAATTCATGAATTCATGAATTTGTTTTTCGACATCTTTATTAACTTTTTGAAGCATCAAAGTTATAGTTGTGCATCAGTCTATGGAGGGACAGAAAGCTCTCAGATTTAATCAAAACAATCTTCATTTGTGTTCCAAAGATGAACAAAAGTCTTACGGGATTGGAAAGACATGAGGGAGAGTAAATAATGAAAGAATTTAAATTTTTGGGTGAACTATCCTTTTCAGTAATGAGTAGTATTAATTAACTACATTTACTTAGTACTTAGTTACATGAAATTATGCATAATTTAAAGTTATTACAGTAACTACATATAAAAAGGACACTTTGAAATATAGGCCACACGTATGTCTCCGCTGGACAGGCCGTGTCCGCCCTGCACTCAATGGCTGTACTACAGATCCCCCAAGCCGATCTCCTCCTATGAGTGGGATGAGAAAGGCCCAGGAAAAAAAAAGGCTCAGTGCATGGCCGCACTAACCATCACAGATAGGCACCTCTGGTTAATGATTGCTGACATGAGGGAGTCTGAGCACGCCATTTTTCTCAACGCGCCACTCTCCTCCACTGATCTTCGGCCCAACGGTGAAAGACCATGAACCTTGTTCCTGCCCCCACGCTTTAGTTCCCTGTAGGTCACACACATGACCAGCTGCCTACACGAACCACAGTGCCCAGCACAGCCTAGCCAGCCTAGCTTATTGTACAACGGCGGAAGGGCAGCCGCCTCCCCAATGGGGGCCTCGGCCGAAGATCACGTTGAAGCTCAAACACACAAAGCCCTCCTAGCTGCAGCAAGAGGGAAAAGATGGCTGAGTCCCGCTGCGGCCGGACCACCATCCAAACTCCTCTCCCTTTCAGTCTCCTTCGAACAGGCTACTGCAGTGGTACATTCAGCATCCGACGAGCCGGTAATACAACCTGCTCGCCTCCACACAATCGCTGTTTTCAAGGTGACCCAGAGAAATCTCAGAGTACAATGTCTGGTTATCCAGCCCGTTCTCATCCCAAGGCATCATATACTGACACTTTTGACAATGAATATTCATCCAACGCACATGGTACCCTTTAGCGTCAATAATAGACGCAGATATATATGGACCAGAAGGCGCCTTCTAGTGGTGTAACCCTAACCCAGACCTAAACTTACCCATAACCGAAGCATGTTATATTGACGCTAAAGGGTGCCATGTGCGTTGGATGTATACGCATTGTCAAAAATGTCACAATAAGATGCGCCCTGAGAATGTGTTGGGTTATCTGGCTCACGCGCATGGTGTTTTGAGTGTAGAAAAAGTGCCCACATTTCAGTGTTCACCCCTACACACAAGCACAACACTTCCCGTGTCACCCACAGAGCCCACTCTCATAAAATTGGCAAATGCCGCTCGAGTGTTGGAAGCAGGAAATGTGCCCACAAGCCCGTGCCCACCCCTTCTCTCTGCCCCCTCTTTTACACGGCCAAAACAGCCTCATATCGGTCAGGTTATGAATTTAAGTCCCGTGCCCTCTCACGCTTACTAACACACTTCTCTACCGGTGCCACTCGTGCATCTCGAAGTTGTCACAAAACTTTCCCCACTTACTTTACCCACACTTACTAATAAACACTCCGCCCAAGGCACAACTCGCGAATCACAAAGTGATTACAGAACGCTCTCCATTCATAGCAATTGGGACGTCACATACTGTATGAAACAGCCTGCCACCACTGTCAGCGAGCTGCCGTATTCAAGCACCGAAGGCCCATACCTCCGGTTCAGTTTCTCGAGCCCACGTAGTGCAGCGATCAGAGCCCGGAGGCCGTTCTGCCCCTAGCTACACGTTTAAAAGTGTGGGAAGCGATTCCTGGGGTATCAGAATAGGCACTAAGCACAATAAGGCAGGGCTATTCGGTACAGTTCGATCGCCGCCCCCGCGCTTTCAATAACTGGTACCGCCTTTTCTGAGCGAGTCAGCCTTTTACAGCCGTTATTTTCTCGTACCAAAGAAGGATGGGACACTATTTTAGATCTGAGACATTTGAACAAAGTTCTTGTGAAAAGACCGTTTAAAATGCTAACGACCAGGAAAATCTTTGTGCACGTTCGCACGATGACTGGTTATCTCTCACGATCTGAAAGATGCCTATTTTTAGATTCAGATAATACCCTTTCACAGGCCATTCTTGAGATTCGCCTTCGACGGTCAGGTATATCAATACACCATCCTGCTGTTCGGCCTGTTTTAGCACCCTGTACATTCATGAAGTGCATGGATGCGGCTCTCGCCCCCTTGAGAAATCAGGGCTTGTGAATTCAATTACGCAGTCTAGAGCTCTGTGGTCTATGTTCTCCAGATGGTGCACCTACAAAAATCTGGACCCACGAACATGTGGGGTCTTGCGGTTGCTTAGTTTCCTCCAAGAGCTGTTGGATTGGGGAGGTCCCCCGTTGCAGCATTCGCAGAGTTGACGCACGGACAATCACTTAAAAGGAACAAGTTTGTCATCTGCTTCCTTAGAGGAGCTAGGAGGATGAATCCCCTGGGCCCCCGTCGGTTCCTATGTGGGATCTTTCTTTGGTCCTCAAGGCCCTGAAAGGTAATTTCTCTATCGGCTCTTCCAGCATCTGTTAGCGAGAGCGATGTTAATCTTCTCTGAACGGTCAGGGAGCTGAGGGCTTACATTACGCACTCCGGCCCTTTCAGGTACTCGGAGTAGCTTTTCATTTCATTTGGGGGGCTCACTAAAGGTCTCGCCGCATCGAAACAAAGATGGATAGTGGATGCTATTGCAGCTGCCTATGCGTCAAAAGGTCTGCAATATCCTTTGGGCTTCAGGGCTCATTCCACTAGAGGCATGGCCTCTAGTGGGCATGGTCCAGTGGAATTTCTATTCATAACATATGTGTGGCGGCGGTCTGGGTCTCCCCGTCCACCTTTCTTAGGCTCTACAACCTGGAAGATCCCGCCCTGCAGGCTTGACTTCTGTCAGTATAAGTGAAATGTCCAGATCTGATCGTGCGCAGGTTACTCTCACGTGACTTAGCTCTCCTGGTTGATCTGCACTATATTGAGTTAATATGCTATATGCTCATACAGACCAGCGGCATCGCTTTATATTCCTATGAGTGCTTATGTACTTGTGCCGGCCTGTGTTGCTGGCCCCCTTATTCCCTGCTTATCTGGAATTCCCTCGGACTCATGAGGTGGATGCTTGGCGCACATGGCGTTTACAAAGGTTTCTCGTAGTGTAAGCTAACTTAGGCAATGCGAGAAAACCTCTCGTAAGAGAACGTATCGGTTTCCTAATGTAACCTCGGTTCTCTCTAGAAGAGGGAACGGGTATTGTGTAACCAGCCATGCTCGCACCACGAGCAACTTTCGCTTCGGTCAATGAAAACCAGGGAGACAGCCTTCGAGCCCTGCTTATATACGCTAAACCATGCCCATTCTGGCAGGCTAAGTGGGTGAACTCTTCTATAGAGAACCGAGGTTACGTTATGTCACTGATACGTTTTCACATTCACAGACAGCCTCAAGCTGATGTGGCATGATGCAACGGGACAACAGTCGAGCCCTGTGTAGACGAGTGTTAGTCTAAAACTGAAATTCTATTCTCATATCTCAGACATTCAAAAGAGCAAATAAATGAGAGAATATTGTAAATGTAATTATTGAACATGTTAAAACCCTTGACATAAAACATTTGGGTTTAAACACTTCAAAAATAGTGCTTTAGGAGATATAAAAGAGTGTGTACACTTACTCTGCTAGGGCCCTTCGTATGATTGAGTGCCGCTGTCGGTACACATCCAGTTTTGACAAACAACTGCAGGAAGTGTGGTTGGCGAAGCTTATGGTGACTGGCTTGGTCCCTTGCTTGATAGGAACTGTGATTTCAAACAACTGTAGAGTGAAAATAGAAGAAAGGTCACATTTTCAATAAAATACTACAGACTTACACAAACTAACTGACGTAAGATGTGAGACCACATGAAAGTTTACTTATACTTTAAGGAGTTTGCTAGAAGTCAAAATGAATTGTGGGCAGTCAATTATGTCTAAATCAAGATTAATGAATGGATTTATGTCTAAAGGAGTTGTGCAAGGAGTCGTCTTTCTGAGAAATCAGTGTACAGACAAAACCACACCTACAGTCTGATCAAACAAACTGGTAAGGGGAAATGGGGAACTTGTGCAAGATAATTTGCAAGGCAGGCAAATAATGTTAGACCAATAAATCAAAACTTCCTCCAGCTATGGGGAAACATTCCAAGGAATTTATGTTGAATGTGCAATGCCAATCATAAGTGCTTGTAACGGGATTGTGCAGCTAAAATGGCCAAGAACATTTAGTTTTAATTTTAATGTTTTATGTCATACAGGGCTGTGCACAGACATTTTGAGGGGCAGTGGCTTAAACCAAAAAAGGGGCACTATAAGGAGTTTGACTGAGGCAGTACCATCTTAATATAGATAATTAATTACAACTCTTTTAGTCTTTTATAATCATGGGAAATAAGATTACAATTAGGATTTAGTGCTAAATCACTTTATGTTGTTATAATTACTCTTCCAATAAAAAAATGAAATAGCAGTTACTGTCCGCCAGTTTAACTGTCTGATTTGGCTGATGCTCAATGGGCTCTCCCTCACTCTCTGAGCTACCTCATCTTAAATGGAAGTATTAGACATCTAATTTTAAAATTATCCAGTTACAGTATATAAATTGAAATGATATACAGCAGGTTACAACAGTTCTAAAGTCACACCGGGGTAATATGCGCATTTGACCACTCGATGGCACAAATTCAGCTCAGCACTTTTCTTCATAAACGCTTTTGATGATGGACTTGGAAATTTGGCTGATCCGTGACTTGATACTGGCAAATTTGCCTAAAAGCATCATTGGATCTGACTAATCTACATGATTAAATAAATTCCTTAATGGGACAGTTTATTCAGAAATGAAAATTCTGTCATCATTCACTCACCCTTATTTTGCTCCAAATGCATATGATTTTATTTCCTCTGTGAAACATAAAAGGATAATTTCTGAATGGGATTTTATTATTATTTATTTATTTATTTATTTGTTTGTTTTGAAGCACCATATGGCTTGTGTGTTGGTACAATAGCATCAATAAACTTCAAAACCAATCGAAATTCATTGATAACCTTTCCCTTAAGTGAGCTGTGAGTGGTAACTCACCACCTTTAGGATACTTTTATGGTGATTGCTTTGTCTTGTTTTAAGTTTGAAATATTTCAGTAAAGATACATGTAATTGCATGTAAAAGAACATGGAAAGAAAGTCATACAGGCCTGGAACGACATGAGGCGTAGATGTAAAATGTCCAACCAGAGATGATAATACTCTGGATCATATTTATAGTAATATCAGAGGGGTTTATAAGGTCTCATCTCACCCCCACTTAGGGCAGTCTGACCATCTGACCCTCTTCCTCACACCAGCGTACAGACCTGTGTTTAAGAGATCCATGCATACTGTTAAACGAACCAAACTGTGGCCTGCTTGTGCGATTCCAATTGCAAGACTGTTTTGAACACACTGATTGGGCACTTTTCTAACAGCAGAGTCTTGAGGATTAAACCTGCACTGTTTTGCATTACATTAAAACCTGCATTGATAGTGAGAGTGAGATACTGTTGAAAGATAGGTCAAATGTTATCAAAACAATAAACCATGGATGAACAGGGAGGTCAAGCTGCTGTTGAGAAACCACAATGAAGCCTTTAAGTCTAGGGATAAGGAATTATACAGCACCGCCAGATCCAAATTAAAGAAAGGCATCAAGGACGCAAAAGTGGCCTACAGGAGGAAGATAGAGGAGCACTTTGACGAAGGGGATCCACAGTGTGTTTGGCAGGGAATACAACACCTTACGAACTTTAAGGGTTCAGCGGCCGGACCAACAATACTCTTGCCCAAAGAAGATGCCCCGACACTCTCCCTGAGAGAAGAGGAGGTCAGGAGGGCATTTCTTGGTGTGAACCCCAGGAAGGTTGCCGGGCCCGATGGGATCCCTGGGAGAGTGCTGAGGGACGGCGCAGATCAGCTGGCAGAGGTATTCACTTCCATCTTTAACCTCTCTCTGTCTACTTGTTCCATTCCCAAGTGCCTTAAATCAGATATCATTGTGCCGATCCCGAAAATATCAGCTGTGAGTAGCTCCGATGACTATACACCAGTGACTTTCACTTCCACTGTTATGAAGTGCTTTGAAAGACTGCTGTTGAAACATATAACATCATCCCTTCCTCACACACTGGACCGGCACCAGTTTGCCTATAAAGCACTGCACTGTGTGCTGACCCACCTGGAACACCCTGGCACCTATGCAAGACTGTTGTTTGTGGATTTTAGTTCTGCGGTTAATTGTATCATTCCTGGAAGACTGGTGTCCAAGTTACATGGACTGGGCATCAGCACAAACATCTGCAGATGGATCAATGACTTTCTTACGGATCATTCCCAGTCAGTTCGTCTGGGCTCGCAACTTTCCTCTGTTCTGACAATCAGCACTGGGGCACACCAGGGTTGTGTGTTGAGCCCCCTACTTTACATTTTATACACTCATGACTGCATTCCAGTTCATGAAAGCAATACTATTATCAAATTTGCAGATGACACCACTGTAGTTGGACTTATTCACAACAATGATGAGTCCGTATACAGGGATGAAATCCAAAAACATTCTGCCTGGTGCTCCACCAACAACCTGTCTCTCAATGCCTCTAAGACCAAAGAGGTGGTGGTAGATTTCCGCAGGAAGAAGACTGACCTTGCCCCTGTCTACATTAATGGAGAAATTGTGGAGAGGGTTTAGGACAAATTCCTTGGGACATACATTTCACAGGACATTACTTGGACAACCAACACTACAGCTCTTGTGAAGAAAGCTCAGCAGTGACTGTACTTTCTCAGGTCACTCAATAAAATTAACCTCTCCCAGAAATTGCTTTTATCCTTTTACAACTGTTCTGTCCAAAGCATTATCTCACACGATATTCTGGTGTGGTTTGGTAGCACTGCTGCTGAAAAAAAAGCGCTGGATAGAGTTAGGAAATCAGCACAAAATATTATTCACATACAGCTCCCCTCACTTGTGGACATATGAAGAGTTCAGATGCAAAAGCCTCTAAGTGCCATTTGAAATTTTCTTCTAAAATGATCATTTTTATCAAGCTTGTATATTTATTTTCAGTAATTTTACTTAAATGGCAATGAAGATTACCTATTTATTGTCATTTAAGTGAAATTACTGAACTTAAATATACAAGCTTGATAAAAATTGTCATTTTAGAAGAAAATTTCAAATGGCATTTAGAGGCTTTTGCATCTGAACTCTTCATATATCATACCAGATGCAGGCAGCGGGCAAAAAATATAATCCAGGATAACACAGTCTCATCCCAAGTCGTCATATAACTGACGTCTTGGGACGTCTTTTGACCATACGTCAACATCCGCCTTTTTAGGGTATTCTTAAACGTCGATTAGTTGACGATCCCGGGCCGTCATACCTTTAATGTCAGTTAGGTGACGGGGTAGGTTTAGGTCTGGGGTAGGGTTAGGATCCGATAACGTCATCTAACCAACGTTTAAGGGTACCCTAAAAAGGCGGATGTTGACGTATGGTCAAAAGACGTCCCAAGTTATATGACGTCTTGGGATGAGACTGCGCTGTCCAGGACTGTTCCCATCCAGGTCACGGCCTCTTTATTTTGCTGCCATCTGTAAGGCGCTACAGATCTCTCCGGGGTCGCACCTCAAGACTTTTGAACAGTTTTTATCCAAATGCTATAAAATACCTGAACTCATGAGCATCTAGATTGCTCTGCATTTTTAATGACTATATTTGAGCTTTTATCTTTTATCTATATATGTATTTATTTACTGTTTGTATTGATGTTGTTTTGTCATACAATGTGTTACCACCATGGAAAGTGCAATTTAAATTTAGTTAGGCAATGACAATAAAAGGCAATTCAATTCAATAAATAAAATCTTGGTCCGTATTGTCTTGTCTACTCATCAAACTTATATACTCCTGCACTGAGTTCAGTGTCTTTGACATGAATCGTGGGTGCTATAGAAACCTTCAGCAACCAAGGCAGCAGATTCTTTCAGCAGGTTAAACAAACAAACAAGCTTCCAAACATTCTGTAATATTAGACCTCCAATTTTAGCTCATGTTGAATTAACAAATCACTCTCAAGGCACACATAAATGAATAAATGAAAGATATTAATGTGATATTCTAATCCAGTCTCCTCTGGTTGACTCATTTCACTCGGCAGATATTATGTTCTTCCTCTCCTTGGACTCATTTTATTCTATACCTCTTAGGTACACAGAAGCATCATTTAGCCTGTTTCTAATTGCATAGCATACAGTACATCTGTATCAGACTTTCATCAATCCAGAATATACAGGCAATACAAAGGCACAATGTAAGTGTAAGAAAACTATTTTTAACACCGATGGGCCCTATTTTAACGATCTGAAACGAAAGTATCAAGCGCGAAGCACAAGTAACTTTGTGGGCGGGTCTTGGGCGCTGTTGCTATTTTACCGAATAAATAAAATAGTATAAATAGTATTATGAACAACGCACAATGCGTCACTGACTTTAGAATAGGTTTTTTACTCAGTGGCGAAAAAACTCTCTTTGTTTGATGTTTGCAAAACTCCATTATTTAGTTGTTAACTGCTTTTACTAGGGCAAGTGACCCTAAAAGCTTCACTTGATCACTCTTGTAAATCTGTCAGCCCACCAGTCTTGATGATAAAATGACTTCACTGCAGTATTAACAGTCTAATAGGCATGGGCATTATATGTGCAGGTGAGACAAGGGTTAGATGAAACCAGAAGTCAATTTAATGTTTTTTTTTTTTTTTTTTTTTTTTAGATGACAAGCTAACAGATTCCCTTGTTACTTTTACAGTGCATCACAGATATAAACTCCACTCTTGAAGATATAAAACTTCACTCTGAAGTCCTGTTGTCATTACATTATATTGTGCTCTATGTCAATATTGTATCAATACTAATACCATTAATTCAAAACACAACCATGTTCATCTGATGCATTTTTACTCTTGACCCAGTCATTTTGTTAATGAAACCTGGAGCTTGTAATTTCATAATCCAAATCTTACTAAAATATATTGAAACATCTTCAGATTGCATCTGTTGTTCAGGCTTTGTGCCCAGAATGGGAGTGTTACGTCTCTGCTGCAGTAGCGTGGACATGGAGGCCTTGACCTGCTCAGATGCTCAACTGGTGGGAGGGCGTCATGGTTTAAATCACAAGAGGAGAACCTATTGCCTGCTAAGGTCAGCCCACCCAAAATAAGTGGGCAATTTAAGGAGGCCTTCTTGAAAATAATTCACAGCCATGACCTCACAACTAAACCCCTGCCTTGTCCATAAGTTTCTAAATCAAAGCTTAACAGATCAGTTCTCTCTACAAAGGGAAGTAGGCTTTAAAACAAAAGCAGACACTTTTATTCAAAGCAGTAAAGAACATCTTTATTGAAGATTATTGAAATTTGCAATTAAATTATATAGTGTGAGAAATGTATTTATAAATAAGGTGTTAGGTAAAGGTATGAAACTAAACATCTGCTAAATATGTATCTGTTTTTTATTCAATGAAAAAAATATTCTAGATCTGTATTCAGAAAGAACCAGATGTGGGCAGGGCTTAAACTGAAAATGTCTCAAATTTGAAAGACAATTCAGTCAAATAAATATGGATCATTCAATATTTATTTATTTATTTATTTTCATTTTGAAGTCATTATTCCTGCATTCCCCAATGTTAGAATTAAAGGGGTACTTCCACACTGACAAAATGGACTTTCAGTGAAACTTGGCTACCTATGCAGATGAAGAGCAAAACCAAACTGTTTGAAATCAGTGTGATTAGAGAAACAGAGGAAAATGTACTCAGACAGGTAAGAAAGATGCTGCCATAATGTTACATTTTAGCATAATGCTGTTTAAAGATTAGACAAAATAGCATTATTATTATTTATTTTTTATAAACCTTCCCTAACAATAACTGTTCTGTTAATAACCCTCTATCGATCCGACTGTCGGTGGGCAGGGATACAAAATTGCGAAATCTGTAGTCCTGAAGCTATCAAAACTCTGCCTAATAACACAAAAAGTTTGACCAAAAAAAAATGAATTTCTTGGCCCTGCTAACGCCTGCATCAGCCAAATTTAGTTTGCTTATGTAATAGGGTAGAAGGCCTAGGACTACAAATCATTTCGACTACAAAGCCCATGAATCAAGGCACTATAAAAGGAAATCAAACTTGTTGGGTTTCCTCTTTCTGGTACCATGAGCTAAGGAGAAGCTTTTTCAAGGCTTTCAAGGTGTTTTTCATGCAGCTCATATCTGTTGCTTCCGGTGACGTGCACTTCATGAAATCTGTATATAGCGTGGGAATTGAAGATCAGATTAATATCCATTTTGCAAAAACACATTTATGTGAGCAGGTGTAAATGGAATCATTTTGATAAATCAGATAGCTATCCAATTTGAGAAAACGCATGAAGTGGCCAGGTGTAAATGCCCAAAGAATTTGTAAAAAAAAGCTTGTAGTTCATTCCAAACCCCAACGCAAACTCCACGTAAGACAAAGAAAATACAACTTCTGTCTGTCCAGAGCCAGGAGTCGGAATAAGACGAGAGTCATTTATGGTGGGGGATCATTTATGGTGGTTTGATTTCTTTACTTTTGGTTTGGAGTAAAATTGTTTTGTTTGATCTGTGATTGAGTATGCACTTATTGGCAAGTGATTCTCCACTGGATAGGATTGGGAACCCTGTTGTCTGTAACTGTTACAGTTTTGTTTTGTTTTTATTATTTGTTTTGTTTCTTTTCAATTTCTTAATACCCAACGTGCTACTCTTTTTTAAAAGGATAGTCCACCCAAAAATTGTTCCAAAAAATATTTGCAAGAAACACTGTGGTTGTTGCCCATTTCTGAGTTCCCCTCACTTGTGAGATGACGGGGTTACACTAACGTCAGCAAAGATACAATTTAAGGTCAGTACTGCTCATCACTGGTTCCAAACAGATTTGTAGACACAAACACATGCTGAAAGAGTCACTCACCGTTTTGCTGATATATGAAGTGCTGATGTTCACGCACTGATGCTCCTCACTGTTACAGCAGCCCCCACATCTGTAGACAGACACGCAGGGTGGTTTATAGAAGGTGTTTGTAGCTGCCCCAAACTCTTTCCCCACATCTAAACAAACTTGGCGTGGCATGCACAGGGTCTTTCTCCACTCTGTCTCAATACCTGGAGGAAGCGCAGCGAGACAGGAAGAAGAGGCACATTAAAAAAAAGGCCAGCAGTGAAATACATGGCTGCAATTATTGCAGATCAGGGTCTGACATATTCTTGGCATCCTAAAGAAACTTTTTGTCAGGACTGTCAAAAAGTATAAAAAAAAAAAAAAAGTCTTGGCTGTAAGACAATAATGACAAAAACACTGCCAGCACAATCTGTGCCAGTGTTAAATTAATAGTCACTCACTTTTAATAATTTCAAGATTGATGAAAGCAGCCGCAAAGGAGGCCTCCTCCGACCTTGTTTCTGTGGAGGTGTAATCTCTGTGAGGCAAGCGCGATCCCGTCTTGGAACGACACTTCAGCATGCTCCAGTAACTGGGGTAAACTATCCTCATAAGTTCATCCACGCTACCTGCTGAACGTAACTGCTCCACCAGGTCTGAATGCTCCTGATAAGAAACAGAGAAACAGAATAAAACTAGGGAAAATCAGCCTGTCAGCTTATCCTACAAAGAATTCTTTAAAAAATGACAAAAAAATGACTCTTTCTTAAAAGGATAGTCCACCCAAAAACTGTTCCAAACTGTGTGACAATCTTTCATCTGTGGAACATAGAAGATATTTTGAAGAATGTTCTGACTGATTTCCATTATAGGACAAAAACTACAATGGAAGTCAATGGAAACAGAAACTATTTGGTAACTAGACACAGTTTTGGTTTCCAATGACTTCCAATGCAATTTTGTTTCAAAAACTGCCCCAAAACCACTGATTTTTGTTTGATTACCAACATTCTTCAAATTATATTTTACATTCTGCAGAAGAAATAAAGTTGTGCAGGTTTAGAACAATCTAAGGATGAGTAAATCCCGTTAAAGGAGAACTCCGGTCAGTTTTAACATTGAGCTCATTTTTTGTACGTTTGGAGTGCTGTCAGTTCAGACAAAAATGACAAAAATTGGTGTTGTCTACACTGTGTTATCGTCTTTTAAAATTCCCACCCTGTTGACTTCAATGGGGGAAGTTCTAAACCTGCTTTATAGCCTCTTAACATCCTTGATTTGTCACTACAAGTGCACAGCCATGTGAGTGGTGTTATTAAGACTGACCACGGTCAATCTGACTGCAGTAGATGTGAAAGATATGAATAAAAATGATGTTAATTCAGCCAGCTCACATACCTCTATTAGGTTCCTGTTTTCAGTCGAAGCCCACAGTAGTCGATTGTTGAGTTCACGCGCATGACCATTGGTGATTTTTGTCGTTTTTGTCTGTACTGACAGCACTCCAAATGTACAAAAGAAAATGAGCTCAATGTTAATTCTCCTTTAAGAGGGATTTTATACCAGAGTAACACTTAACAGGATAGTTTACGCACATTTTTGAATTCTGCCATTTATGTTGTCAACCATATAGTTTTTTTCATGTTTCAAATAAAAAAATCATACAGGTTTGGAAAGACGAGAATAAATGATGACTGAATTTTTCATTTTGGGGCAAACTATTCCTTGGACAGCAACATAAAGTTACGCCTAACACTAGAGCTACATACTGGGTTATATCATAGAGGGTTTGATCAATGTGCTGGACAGAACTACTGCAATGATTAAGCATGCCAAATTGTATAAATCCCAAAGCAACTAAGAGAAATATCAAGTGTTTTTATGTTATTTTTATAGCATGTTTCAATCTCTCATTGATTTAGAAAATACGGTTTGTAACTCTACTCACTGAATCAATATTTGGAGATCTAATCAGTGATAATAAACACATGTGATAAACCTTTCCATTGTTTTATCATATTTTTATCAATCCACAGTTATAATGGCCAACTGTATGCTGGCAACATTTTGTTGTGTTAAATCATGTATGTATAAATGAACGTACCACAATTAACCAACAGATATAAGCTTTCCCATGTCAAAGTGTGTAAATGTGAAGAGTGAAACTGAGACATGCAAATAATGCTTTATTGAATGGAATGATCAGAACTCAATGGTTTCGACTCAGCCAATTGAAAGTATTGCTTACTCCGTAAGCTGGGTTGCCTGTGAAGACGGAGCCAAGTCTGTCTGCTGCAAGAGACACCCTAGCACACGCAATCAAACCCCCAAAGTTTTGACCTCTCCACAATCCGCAGCGGAATGAAAGTTTGCAATAAGTGTGAAAACACCAACGGCGTCTGAAACACCCTGAAGTCCCTGATGGAAAATGATACAGCTGTCTGGGACATTCCAGGAAACATGCCCAGTTTACCCACATAGCTGATCATGGCTGTCGATAAAAAAAACACCCTCCCCCCGTTGTAGAGGTGTTACATTTTTTTAGAAAAAAAAAAAAAAAAAAAACTACTAGAAATTGAAGCTCAACAGAATTCCCCTTTCCAGAAGGCCAGTCTTTGGTATTGGTCCCAGTCACTCTCTAATATATTTGACTAGTGAATAAACACACTTTGTTTTTTTTTTGTTTGTTTTTTTTTTTTCATTAGGCAAATCACCAAGTTTACAGCAGACAATTTATTATATCAAATGGTAGGAAATTAGCTTTCGCTTACTCTTACATTTTGCTGTAAAGCCTATTATTTACATAAAATATTTTTTTTGGGGGGCCGGATAAGTACAAGCAATGCTTTTCTAGGCCTCCCTACCCAACTCTCTTTCAAAGGAGATCCTCAGAACAAACATGAGCTTTACAGTTTTATAATTTTTTGAAAGTATACACTTGAAGGCCATTTTTCATGATACAGGACACTTTGCCGTGCCAGAATATATACAAATGTAACCATTTACATGAAATATGACTTTAAGATTGCATAGTTTCAAATGTTATCATAAATCCTTTGACATAGTAGCTGAACAAGATTCTAAACCCACATTGTTACCTGCAAACATTCAGTTGTACCGCATACCAAGGAAAATAGCTCTAATCGTGGAAAAAGGAAAAATATAATACTTGTAGGAAATGACCGCTTCTGCATTGACTCCCTTCTGTTTATTCAGGAAACCCAAATCCCACAAAAAGAGTATGAACAAGACTATTGTATGTGGCCTCTTCCATGCCTTTGTTTACAGTGATTCCTGAGATAACACACTGGTCTGTTTCCTACCAGAAACAATGGAGACTGAGCAAATTATGTGTGGTGCACAGAACACAGACATATTCACACGTGAGTCAGGCCCAAACTTCAGGTTTTGTAATTGTAAAAATGCTAATACAATGCCCTATTTTTATGTTTTAGTGGTAACTATAAAAAGACACTGATGGGAGAACGATACAAATGGGAACCATGAAGTCTGAGAGCCCATGACCCAGAAATGCATTTATTGTTTTACTCTTGTGATCTAATTCATAGTATTAGGGATAACTTTATTCTAATTTCTAATATCACAAAAGAAAATAAATTGTAATGCATAATAACAAAAATAATAAATGTACTAAATTATATTTCATTCACATTTACCAGTCAGACTCAAAATCAAAAATCATGCTAAATGCATATTTAATTTCATATAAAGATCAAATTCAAATTGCATACAACTAATTGCAGCTATTTTTATTAATAATTATGATTTCTCAAAACTGTACTTTTACTGGATGAGTCGGAGTGAACAATGCCACTAATAGAGATCAGGCCAAGATTTTCTCCAGGATTTTCTTTAAATAACACATGAAATATATGGCATGAGACCATTCTGTGATATTTTTGCATCTTTTCCTAAAAGCTTGATGCTGGTCGCTAATTCACTGCCATTATATGAACCAGTGCGAGTGGGGGGTTCGGGGGGCATTTTTAAGATTTCTCCTTCTGTGGTTTGAAAAATGAAGAACAGCATGCTACATTAAACAACACCAGGTTGAGTAAATTATGACTTAATTTCCATTTTAGGGTGAACTTTCCCTTTAAACAAAAAAGGTTTGACATTTTTAATGAAAGAAAATAAATAGTACATCTGATTAATCAAGTTGAAGGGAGAATGGCGTCAATACGAGATTGCATTTGGCCCCGAAAAGCAGTGATTCATGGGATGCAATAAAATGATGACCTGATGATAGATGCATACAACATCAGTGGCCAGTAAAAATACTTCACCTTCAACAAGCTAGAAAGAATGTCTCATTGAATTAACCACAATAGAAAGCAGCTGGGTTTAACACTTGGGACAGGATGCCATCTCCATTTTAACAAAATCATTGGATGCCACACACGCTCCCAATAATGATAATGACACCATCATGACTGCCATTATTTTAAAGTTCAAATGTGAGTCAACAGTTTGATGGCAATTAGCCCATAAAATGTGCATCATTAGACTGAATGCTCATTTCAGACACACTGAAGCAACACGTATTCTCTTGATGACGTAGTGTTTCCTGAAGCAAACCACAAAACTGACACAATGACACAAACAGCTAGATCATTTTTTGGCAATGAGGTTAGAGTTTATCCTCTAAGCCGATACCAGCATCCGGAGCTATTTTGGATGAGGTTTCTGGAAGGCACCCTCACCGAATGAATTCCTTTAGTCTGAGTCAAAATGCTTAATATTTAGGCCATACAAATTAAGCATTTTGTTTTCATAATATTAAGTTTATACAGTTCAATTTCCATTAAAGTCACCCCATGCTCCTACATTAAAGCTTAATAAAAAGGTCAGCCATCACAACTTCATAATTTATGAGTTCACATTTTCATATACTCCTTAGGTAAAGAGAACTAGCTTGTTGACGATTTTTTAATCAAGAATTGATTGATGTATTTGTGAAAATACAATTGTTTCAAATGTGTTCACCAGTAAAATTATCAATTTCATGATTTCTACTTTCTTACACACTAAGTAGCTAACCATTCAGAAAGAAAACACAGTTAGCAATTGTAATTCTACAAAGGCCTCTCAAGCAGTCAATTGTGGTTTATTATCTATAATGGGCAGTTATGCAATTGTGAACAGTGTTGGGAGTAACGCATTACAAAAGTAATACATTACAGTAACATATTACTTTTTGCTGTAACGCAGTAGTGTAAGGCATTACTAATCAATTTTCAGTAATATTTTACTCGTTACATGTTCAGTGAGGCTTGTATTACAGTTGTATTACAGTGTATTGTCTGCTTTTACTTCTTAAAGGCAACAGACTATGTGAAAGTTTTAAAGCAGTCTTTTAGTGCCAGTTCAGAGCGGTCGCGTCTGTAACATTGTTTTTTCCTCATAAATGCGAACACGAAAACTAAAATAAAATGAATATTTTAAGTTCTATGGAGACTGGAGAGCCAACCCTTCCTCATCCGATTTGCACAGTGTAATTAACAGAATTACAAAAAATATATTTTGCCTCCTATTTTTTTGTCACGCATGAATGTGTGTCTTTTCCCTAATATTAAAAATAAAACATAGACTGATATTTGTCTAATGTCTGGAGTCCTTTAAGGAAGTAGCCTATTTTCAATACA